AAGAAGAGTCACTAATCCAACTCCCTACAGGAAAACCCCTGTTCTTTGTTCATGCCCACTTGCTGTGTTACTTGTTTCACCATTTGATCCCAATTTAATCAATTTTACCTAAGCTATTATGACTGTACTTTTATTGGTGACCATAGATTTTTCCCACCTCATGCCTACCTAGCAAGTTCCCATGATTTTCAATTTGGACCTGCCTAGCTTTGTGGATTTGCTCAATAAAAAATCCCAGAGAAGACAGGTTCCTTGGCATCCCGCTGGGGTTCTCTTCTGTCCCACTCTCAGATACAAGCTTTCTTTCACTGTGGCCTATCACTTTCTATCAATAGGTAGCAGTTTCTCTCAAAAATATTTAAGAGTTTATAAAAAGAATAGAGGGTTATAAAATAGCACTAATGGCATATTGGATACTTTAAAAACATTTATTTAATCCTAAAAGCACCATTTAATCATTATTGTTAGTCACTCCATTTCCCAGAAAGCAAACCAAATTAGAAAGAGCTTAGGAACTTGTCTCACATCCATAGCTAAAAGAGCTGGCAGCAGGAGCGAGGTGGCCTTGCTCTGAAGCTGCATCTCTCCCTGTGTCTCTGCTCCAATCAATGAGGCAAATTGTTTGTTTAGACTCTCTGCTTAGTTAATGGGGGGGGGGAGGAAAATTCCAGTAGTCCTGCTCCATTGCAGTTTCTGGAACTCAGCTCTAGGCCTCATCCTCACCCCTCAGTTTCTTGGCCACTGCACCCTCTCAGGTTACTTCAGGAGCAAACTGCCAGTTCACACTGTGCCTGATAAGCAAGCAGCTGCTCTTCACACACAGGAGCCAGCGACACAGCCTTAGAGTTGAGTAAGTAAACAGCCAAACAGCAGCTACTCATAGTTCATATCTTTGAGTTTAATGTAACCTCAGCATATGACGTTTTCTCCAGGACAATCTTCGCAAGACTCACACTCAGAGGGAAACTCTCCTGTAGGGAAACTGTCTTGAGAAAGGAGTCACATATGGACTTTGTACAATATCCAGCAAATGTTTGAATTCTAGAATTTTATATCCTTTTTAGATTCTCTTGAATAGATTTCCTGTATGGTTTATACATTCTTAGAAAAAACATCTAAGAAGTATGCAGTACGGGTCCTATTTCACACTTAAAGCACTAGAACAAATGTTAAATGACTATGCTAGATCCATAAAGCAATTTTATTCTTTTTTTTATCTCAGCAGTTTTATTCTTTAAAAATTGACAGAATTTAGTTTCTAATGTTATAACACTGATTGATTATAGCTCCTACATCTTCTGTCCTGGGCATGCTCTGTTCCATCCTTGCAATTTTCCTCAGATGTCCTATTTTCCTGGCTTCTACAATCATCTGGAGTCTCCGGTGAACCTTCAGCTACCACACCCACAGCTTCACACACTGCTTTCTGAAGGACACACTGCCTTTTCTCCTAGGCCTTCCTTTGAAATCTTGAAGTTAGCCTTCTTGATCTCACAAATTTTATACTATACATGCACCTAAAATCAGCTCAACATGCAGGATGTGAAGGTCTGCCACCATCTGGGGCACTAGCCAGGCTTTCTTTTCTATTGGCCATAGGCAACAAGGGCTTATCAACCAAATCCTGAGGAACAACTTCCCTAGGTCACTGCCATCCTGGAACATGGTTCTCTGGGGCTTTCTTCTCGAAGCAAAGTCTTTCATTTTGCAAATCTGAGGCTGCAAAGGCCAGAGTCCTGCTGTCTCTTGTAATTTCCTCAGGCCATCTTTTCTGTTGTCTTCTTACAAAAGACTTGGCTTTTACTTGCTTGTAGTTTCAGCAATCAATTTTTGCTATGTTTTATCTTTACAGACTGAAATCTCACTGGTGCTTCTTTTCTGGCCAGAACCAAAGCATTTGAATTATTTTGCTGAAATCTTTGCTCTTTATTCTCAACACAGATATTGCTAAAAAGCCCCTAATAGTAGCTATGAAATGGCCTCATCATTAGAGTGTCTTGAAATTTCTTCTTCAAGATTAACTAATCAGCTGCCCTTAAACTCAGATAAAACCTTTAGGCACAAGTAAAATGCAGACAAACTTTCTGCCAAGGCATAAGACATATTTCAGATTCCATCAATCAGTGCAGCTCCTCCCAGCATAAACTTCCCAGGCCTGGTCTGTGGGAGCAGTGTTTCTATCAGCACTCTGGTCATCTGAACTGTGACCAGCATCTCCCATTAATATAGGGGAAAGAAACTCCCAACCTGACATTTTCCTGGAATGAGTTCCTGTTCTCTAAAATTGAAGAACAAATTTTAACAACAACAGAGGTCAGTAGTAGAACTTATTTACTGAAGTAAAGAAAGCTTGTATATGACAGAGGGGGAAAAAAAGAGACCTGAGTAGGTTGCCATGGAACTGGTCTTTTCTGGATTTTTTTAATAGAGCAAAATCACAAAGTTAGGTGACTCTAATGTGGGAAACATGGAAATTTGCAAAGTGCACATGAGGTTGGACAAAGTTATGATCACCAATAAGAATACCATCATCACTGCTCAGGTAAAAATTTATTAAATTGGATCAAATGGGGAAGCAAGTAGCATAGCAAGTGGACATGCATACAGAACAGGGCCTTTCCTGTAAGGGATTAGATTAGTGACTCTTCTTGCCTTTTTCAAGGCGATTGATAACTATTTAGAATGTCAATCACTGTTGTCTATTCCTCCTAAAGAGGAATGTAGCTACCCTTATTTAACCTTTTGCCTTGAGGTCTGTCCCACAGCAAAGGTGGCTCTCACACTTTCAAGATATCCTGTCTTTCATACTGGCTCCCTGGAGGGCCAAGCCCTGTCTGACTGCCTATAATATTTCTATCTAACTCAATTACCTACAACACCATCAAGTATATTTTAAGGTGTTACCACTGTAGTTTTTTCAGCCATCCTCTCCAAACCTCTTCTAGCACCTCTCTTTCCCACAATCCTTCTCCAAAAGCCCCTAAACCACACAATTATGTACAGTCATAGCAGTGACCACACTTCTCTAATACCTAATTCTGTGTTAGTCACTTTTCTCCTCACTGAGACAATACGTGACACCAAAAGCTAAAAGAAGAAAGGTTTACTTGGCTCATGGTTTATAGAGGTTTCAGTCCACAATTGGCTGGTTCCAGGGCAGACTGTCATGGACAGGTTCATGGCAGAAGAAAAATCATTCAAGCAGGTGCATAATCAGATATACTGGAACTAAAGCCAGCAGGGTTTTCAGCTGGGTTGTGTATGAAGGATAAAGGAACAGGAAGAGCTAAGACATTAGAAGAAAAAGAAAATTCTCAAATATTTACACAAATATTCATCTTTCTATAAACAAAATGACCAAATATGTCATAGCCTATAAATTGAAATTTGAGAGGAAACATAAATCAACAAAGTAATGCAGAACAAAAATGTACAATCAGGTGTGGGGAGATAGCTTAGAGGCATGAGTGACTGCCTGGTAAGCTCAATGTCCTGAGCTTGATCTCCTGTAAAAAAAAAAAATGAAAAGAAAAAAAAAAAAAAAAAAAAAAACATAGCCACTATTAAACAATAGATTCCTTGTACTGTTTGAAAACGATGTCTCTTCTTCAGATCAATATTTTTATAAACTCAGGGACTCCGCGTTTTTTGTCTGCTGTGTTAATTTCTCAAACTAATTAATTTGATTTTGTCAGTAACAACAAGTCTTGCTCTGTGTCCTTCCTGCCACTCATAAGTAAACCCTTTGCTGGATGATCCAAAAGTTAGTTTTAAAATGATCTACAAAGTGACTATGGAAATGCACTGGGGTAAGAGAGGTCTTTAAAAAGATAAAAATCCTTTTATCTTTTTATATTGTTATCCTCAAACAGTGAAGTACTGAGACACTTTAAAAACAGGAGATATTTAGGCTCTAACTTCAGTTCTCCTTCACAAAAAATAAATACATAGTCATTTGAAATTTAATGTGAACCTCCAGAAGATTAATTTAAAGCTTAGAAAAAGCAATAGAGGATAGAGGACTGAGCTCCAAGTGAAATAATTTCATCCCATCCCTGCTTCTATCAAGGTAATGACAGAAATGTTCTGAAGTAATATAAACAAGGACAGAGATTATTACCATATTGGGGATTCTTTTTGGACTTGTGAGTAACCTCTGTCATGAAATCAAGTAATGTTTTTAATGCAGAGTTCAAGGTCACTACTTTATCCTTATCCCAGAGAATAAGTCTTTTGAGTACTCTCAGATCACTGATAATGTTTATGTTACCTACCAAGTGGCCTTAAGTTATTTTTTACATTTGCTTACTCCAGAAAATTCGAAAGACTCACCCAAGAGTTTGGTAGTCATCAGTATTAGAGCCACTGAATTTACAAGTTAGGCTTACACACAAGCACTGTTCAATAATAATACTTTAAATGAATTAAAACCCCCTCTTCTGGTTGGGGTGATCTGAGGATCAAAAAAGGACTTCATTCATAATAAGTGAGGACCTGTGACTAAGCTACAAACCCAGCCCAATGGGCCCACTTATTTTCTCTACATCATCAGAGCATTCACTTACCAGCAGCTGTGTTACATGAGAGTTTAGAGACTAAAGAAATATTCTAATTCTCTCATCTTCTAAAAATTCAGACACTTTCTAAATGCAAGAATGATGCATGAGCCCAAAGACTTCCACGAAAGTGTTCTTTGACAAAGCAAAGTACAACTTACTCTTAAAAAAGTGTTTCCCAAAGTAAAGTTAGTGTAGTTATTTCAAGAGATGAGCAAAAGGGACTGTTTTGAAGCAAGCTATATGAAGTAGGTGTTTTACTTTGCTTTTTCCATTTACTGCTATATCTACAGTGCCTAGAAAAAATACCCACCAAGCAGTAAATACTCAGTGGATTCTGAGTCAACAATGATCAGATATGTTTCTCTTTTGAACAAAACAACAACAACAACAATTAAAGTCTTTTTGTGCTTCCCAGGATATTGAGCCATTATTGTTGTTCACAGACTGATGAAAACTTTCCACACCTCCAGCAACTCCAGCACCATCACTGGCTTCATCCTGCTGGGTTTTCCCAGCCCCAGGGAGGGGCAGATATTCCTCTTTGTGCTCTTCTCAGCTGTCTATCTCCTCACCCTCACGGGCAATGCTTCCATCATCTGTGCCGTGTGCTGGGATCAGAGACTACACACACCCATGTACATCCTTCTGGCCAATTTCTCCTTCCTGGAGATCTGGTATGTCACCTCCACAGTCCCCAACATGTTGGCCAACTTCCTTTCTGACACCAAGGTCATCTCCTTCTCTGGCTGCTTCCTCCAGTTCTATTTCTTCTTTTCCTTGGGTTCCACAGAATGCTTCTTCCTGGCAGTTATGGCATTTGATCGCTACCTTGCCATCTGCAGGCCTCTGCACTACCCTTCCATTATGACACGACGTCTCTGCACCAATCTCATAGTCAGCTGCTGGATGCTTGGTTTTCTCTGGTTTCCAGTCCCCATCATCATCATTTCTCAGATGTCCTTTTGTGGCCCCAGGATAATTGATCATTTCCTGTGTGATGCAGGTCCTCTTTTAGCCCTCACCTGTTCCAGAGCCCCAGTGATGGAGTTCTTCTGGACAACTATAATGTCTCTGCTCCTGTTTATTCCTTTCCTCTTCATTATGATGTCCTATGTGCTGGTTCTCAGATCTGTGTTGAAAGTTCCTTCAGTAGCAGGGCGAAGAAAGGCCTTTTCTACCTGTGGTTCCCATGTGACTGTAGTTTCACTTTTCTATTGCTCAGTGATGGTTATGTATGTGAACCCAACATCTGAGCATGAAGCTGGAACACAAAAGCTCATAACCTTGTTTTATTCTGTAGGAACCCCACTCATTAATCCTGTGATCTATAGTCTAAGAAACAAAGATATGAAAAATGCCCTACAGAAATTTCTTGGAACACAAATTTAAGAACTTTCATTTAAAAAATTCCTTGCAAGAAACCCAACACCAGTTTCTTTTGAGCCCTAGTAATACCTTTGTTTAATCTTAAGATACCATCATAGTGAACAACCTTATATTTTATGTTACATAATTATATTAAAAGCTTTATGTACTTTTGTTTATAATTACACAATAATTATAAATGTTTAGTATCCACACCTATTATATTCAAATGACTGAAATAAGCAAAAAAGGGGATACAGATGAATGTCCATTGTGTATCTGTGTATTCAAAATGGTTAGGATAGACATATAGTTACATTCTTTTCATAAATAGAGGGATTTGTTCTAATAGTGTTTGTAAATAGGATATCATGTCCGCATCTTGTAAAACAATTAAGCACTAGGAAGAATGTATGCAATGTGTTAATTATTGAAACTGTCCTATCAATTTGGTTTGAAACTGTCTCATTGCTATTTGTTTCTCAATAAAATTATGGAAAAAATAAAAACATAAAATTAAATAAATATTTAGCATCAAACTGATGACAAACACTATTTTGTTGAAAAGGTTTTGCATTTAAAACAAAACTCTATAAAACCCAAGGCAATAGGCCTCAACCAATACCAGATTTTTATGAAAACAATCAAGGGAAAAAATAAGATCTCATTTCAAAACACAGCATACTTGAACTAATCAATCTGAAGATAGTATTGTAACTCAAAATCTTTAAGACAGGAAATAATATTACACATATATGTATCTTTTAAAATTTTTTCATAATTGCAATATCTCTTTATATTTACAAATATGAACTTAGGAAACAGTGAAAACAGCAGGATTCTTTTTTCTTTTTCTTGGAGTAACTAATGCCAATAACCACAACAGAAATTTTTAAATTTTTTTTGGTATAATTATGTTATTGAATTAAAGTTATGACTGGAAAATTAATAAACTATCTCATCAATTTCAAAATCATGCTAATATAAAGCAATTTTAATAAGTCATTTCTTGAAATCACTTCTGTATCTGCATAAAATGTACTGCTATTCTGAAGTGCATTTGTTTATTAGTGTCATTATGAGGCCTTAGTGCCTGAATGTACCAAGAAAAAAACTCGAAGTTCAACATTTTTTAACTTGCCTTATAGAAATGTTTAAGCAAGCAATTAACCCTTCTTCATATGACAGTAAATAAATAAAAATAAGCAATTTAGGCAGGAAAGTAGTTCATGGGTCTCATAACCAAAAAGAAGGGAGTTCCATACAAGGCAGCATTCTGCTTTCATGTGAAAATGGAGCTAATATGAATGAAACAGAAATAGTAAAGACTAAATAATTTACAAAAACAGAAGCCAGATTTGTATTTTTCAAGTATATGCTTACCTTAAAATCTTTACCTCTGAACTAAATGTTGGGCAACCGCAGTGATTAGCATTTAAAACAATTTCAACAAAACAAGGAGTTATCAAAAATGGACTACTTGTCTGAAAGAGCAGTACCTGTACTATACAGATTGAACTTTATGGCTCATCATCACAACAATTTCCAAAATATAATTCATACAATTCTTTCATTATTTAAGAGAATTTCATTTGTGTTCCATAGCACAATGACCAGTAAAGAAAAAACAAAAACAAAAAAAAGTAAACCTTCAATGGCTAAATTTAGGATATTGTATTATATAGCAATTGAAAACAAGCTAAGGCCTGGCCAAATAAATCAGCAGATTAAAGAGCGTGCAAGCAGGTGCAGGGTCCAGGGGTTGGATCCCAGGGCCTGCTGTGCCAGCCTGGCCCCTGGGGCATGGTGAGATGGCAATTGAGACTGGGTGTGGTAGCATGTGACTGTAATCTAATCTCTTGGGAGGCTGTAAACAGGCAGATCACTATGAGTCCGATCTAGTAGTGAGACCCTCAACACTCTGCAGAACCTTCCCTAAAATACAAAAAAAGAAAGAAAAAAGTTAAGTAGTTAATGTATTGGATAGATATGTAAGCATTTCAAAAGCAAAATGATATCCAATTATGTGGTACATAATGTAGACAAGTGTGGAATCTAACATTATGTGGACATTTGATACTAAAAGCTTCCTGTAGGACAATTACACATAAACTTGTGAAACATAGGTAAGGTAAGTGCAGACTAATTCCATGGAACCTTTTTGAAACTGAGAGTCTAAAGCACAATGATTTTCAGGTAGGAACCAAGTTATTCTAAAAATTTTTCATAATGGTTGTTCTCACATTTCTTTTATCTGAACTCTATATCAACAATACATGTGATTTGCCAGGAAAAATAAATCCCCCCAAACCAAAACACCATTCCAGATCCTGTACAATTAAATATATCATTCTCACTGGAAGTACTATCAGCATAGTCTTTGCAACTAGCCCAAAGCGTATATTTAAGAAGATTTATAAATTGATTGTGATGCTCATTATGTTGAATTCTTATGCCAAACTGTTTTCTGAGGAAGACAGCATTGTGTTTTATGCAAGAATGGAAACTTAGGGGCTGGGGAGATAGCTCAGTAGAATAAGTACTTGCCTGGCAAGCACAAGAGCCTGAGTTCAATCCCTGGTTCCATAAAACAAAACAAAACAAAACAAAACAAAACAAAACAAAACAAAAACAACAGAAACTTCAAAACAATCACCATAAGGATTTTAAGGCTTATGGGAGAATAAACTAGGATGGTTCACAAATATTAAGATGAAATCCACAACATTGGAATTATAAATGTTTAGAGTGACCCAGAGTAGAAGACAAACCCAAACAACCATTAGAAGAATGAAATATGATGTGGTCCAAAATGTATCCTTAAAGGTTGATCTCACCCTCAGTCTGAATAATGAGGATTGATCTTCAGTTCAATCCAGTGAGCAGAAATTGAGTGTGCAATTTTCCATTGTATTATTTTAGAGAATATGTACATTTTAGAAGGTTTCTTTAGTGCTACACTGTTATACTTTTTGTCCCAAATAATCTAATTTAAATTGGGAAATGATATGAATAGAAAAGTCTCACAAAAGGAAACAAAAGTGGTCAACAAGTAATGAAAAAAAAATCCAACATCCTTAATCATCAGGAAAATTAAAATTAAAATCATAATGAATAGCTCTTCTCACTTAAAAATCCATATTAGGAAAAAGGAAAAATAAACAAATTCTGGCAAGTGTATGGAGAGATGCATAACCACATCTATCACTGTGGGCAGGAATGTAAATATGTTGAGCCAGTCTGGAGAACAGAAATGAGGTTCCAAAAAATAAAAAATAAAACTGCCATAATACCCAGGTGTCCCATTAATTGATATATATCTAAAAATAAATGAAATCAGTATGGAAAACATGTATCTGTATTGGCATGATTATTGCAGCATTATTTACAGTTTGATTCCAAGATTCAGAATTTTGTCTTATGTGCTGGGGTCAGAAAACACCTTCACAGCAACATGGGTAGTCCTGCAGAACATCGTGTTAAGGGAAATGTCAGGCTCAGAAAGACAAATTTTCCATGCTTTCATCTGTATATGGAAGTTAAAGAGTTGGTTTCATTCAAGTAGAAAATAGTGTTTACTAGATTCTTGCATGAGTGATGACAAATATGAAGAGACTGTCATTGGAAAACTCATTGGCTCATCACGGTTTCCTGGATTAAGAAATTCCTGGAGAGGTGAAAGGATCATAAAGGGCACTATTCACACCAATGGGTTAGTTGAATGGGCTGTTAGAAGGCAGAGCTTCATTGGAAGGAGTCCTGCTGATATGACCTAGGGGACTAGATTTGCTCCCTGTGCCCCTCCTTTAGGGTGCTATTGCCCTGCTCTCTGCTTCACAGACACCATGACCTTGCAGTTGCTCCACCACACTCTCCATCATGATGTTCTGCCTCATCTTAGACCCACAACAGCAGAAATAGGAAAGCATGGCCTAAAACCTATGAACCAGATTAAATTATGCATGTCAAGCATTTGTCCCTGCAGCAGGAAAGCTGACTAACACAGTGGAGGCATGGGCACAATGTAGCAGTGTCACTGAATAAGAGGAGTGAACTTCAATATTCTATAGCACAATAAAATAACCATGGTTATTGACTATTAATTGCATAATTTGAAATAACCAAGTGCTAAGTATTCTTACCATAAAGAGATGATGAACAATTAAAGTGATATTATAAGGCAATTAATTCTGGGTTGACCACTACACATTATATATCTGTTGAAATACCACATGGTACTTTATAAACATGTACAAATATTAGGTGTCATTTAAAATCTGTCTTTAAAGGGAAAACAACACTCCTTACACAAATGGCCCATCTTCATACTTTTCCAGGTATAAAATCTAAATAAAATCTGGTACCAATCTAATAATTGCTCATCCTATGGTAGTTAGGCAGCACATATAACTAACACTTACCATTGTTAGGAGGCAGCATAAATACTAGTGGTTTCTTATGTGTTTAAAATTTCAAATGATATTCCTGTGATTTTCATTAACAAAATTTAAAAACGTGTCCATAGTTTAGTTCTTCAAGGAGGTCTATATAACTTCAAATAAAGCTGATTTATTTTTGTTATTTTCCTTCCTGTTCTCTTGCCTTCTGAAAGATTTCTGTTATAAATCTAATTTATAGCAGAAATATTGATGAATTTTTATGGTTCATTTTAGCAAATCAGAAACTTAATTCTTGTGCTTCAAAAGGGTTTTTCTTGACTATCACCAAGAATTCAAAACACAGGTGCTAGGAAGGTTGTGGGGGAAAAGGAACACTTCTACAACGGTGGGGATGGATCCAAGTGCAACCACCATGAAAATCAATATGAAGATTCTTCAAAAAACTAAAACTACAAATTTCATTTGATCCTTCTACACCACTTCTGCGTACCTTCACGTTTGAGTTGAAGTTATCATGTTACAATGACACATTTACACTCATGTTTTCTGTTTGTTTATTGTTTTTGAAGCTTCTTTTACTTTTACATTTTCATCAGTACATGTTTGCATTACCTAATGATTATATTCCTCAAGGAAAGTTGGTGCATGCATACAGCACATCTTTTTTTTAAGAGGGGTAGTCAATAAATATTTAAAGATTTAAAATTTCTGAATTTAGTCAAACTTATAACACCACATTTCCAAGAAAAATGAACCTTATGCATAAGA